CCCAGATCAACTCCCTATTCAGAATAGTGATGCTATACCAACTTCTTATCATGGGAAATACAAGTACCTAAAACTTGCTACCAGACACTTCAAATGAATTGAAAAACAAAGAGGAGAAAGCGACAAATGAAGAGACAAACACTGAAGCAAAACGAATGGGGCAATACCTTCAAGAGACCCATTAAATTAGATGTGAGATGATTACATAGTACACAGACACCTCATTGTATTAAAGAATGTAAAGCCAACACAAGTTGAAACAGTTCAAAAAATAAAGTTAGATGGAGTGTCTGGGTGGCTCAGTGGGTTGAGCATCTGACTTCAGCTCAGGTTGTGATCTCTCACAGTTCATGAGTTCGAGGCCCACATCAGGCTTGCTGCAGTCAGCCTATCAAGCACAGAGCCCACTTCAGATCCTCGGTTCCCCTCTCTCTACCCCTCCCTCACTGGCACTCTGTCTCAAAAAATAAATTAAAAACATTTAAAAAAAAATTAAGTTAGAGGACTCTAACAGCTAAACCACCTCCAACTCTGATCTTGCTGCACCCCAGGCCAAATGAATCACAATTTCTGGAGGTAGGATCCAGCCACCAGTACTTTGTAAAGCTCCCCGAAAGATTTCAAAATGCAGCCAAAGTTGAGAACCACTGTCCTAAACCTTGGGAGTAAAAAAGCAATAAAAAGATGGATCCCATACAGTTACAAGTTTTCTAAAATGCAATTTTCATTTAACACAGTCTTTGAGCCTAAACGTATTTACAATTATCACCAACTTAAAAAAAAATTTTTTTTTTAATGTTTATTTTTGAGAGAGAGAAAGAGAGACAGAGTGTGAGCAGGGGAGGGGAAGAGAGTGAAGGAGACACAGAATCAGAAGCAGTACCAGGCTCCAAGCTATCAGCACAGGGCCTGACGTGGGGCTCAAACTCACGGACCGTGAGATCATGACCTGAGCCAAAGTCAGGAACTTAACCTACTGAACCACACAGGCACCCCCAATTATCACCAATTTTAAATTAAGATGTTATAATAGACACTTTTTTGAGAGAGAGAGAGAGAGAACAGAAGCCTGGGAGAGGGTAGAGGGGGAGAGGGAGAGAGGGGGAGGGAGAGAATCTCAAGTAGGCTCCACGCTCAGCATGGAGCCAGAGATGGGCTTTGATCCCACCACCCTGGGACCATGACCTGAGCCAAAATCAAGAGTCGGATGCTCAACTGACTGAGGCACCCAGGTACCCCAACAGATACTCTTTATAATCGGTCTCTTGTAGCTAGCTATCTGACCTGTATCATTTGCAGCAGCAAACAATCAAGACTTAAATTATAAGATTCTGACCACCCAACATCTTAGTTTTACATAAGTACCACCCTAGTTTCTATCCACTTTCATGGTTAAAACAAATTTTCCTGGATGCCAAACATATCACATAATAGTGTCAAGGTGACACAACCTAAAATACCTTGTTCCTGAGAAACTGGAATTCGGCCACATTTTCCATCACCAAAATTACACATTTTAAAAATGAAACAAAAAATCCAAAAATACTAAATCTGACTCATTATCAAGCATATGTTTTGTTATGATGCAAACAGTATCATACTGAAAGTTATTCAAATGAATATCTAGACATATTTGTCAACTGTTTCTCTTTTTAAAGCAACTGAATCTTCATCAACTGTTGAGTAAAAAGCCCTAAATTTGATAATTTAACAAAATTAAATTCTGTGTTATGCTGATCTAAGTCCTTTAACTTTCATTGAGTGTAGAAAATAATGAAATCAATGAAACGTAGTCATATTAGTTTTACACATGATTAAACATCACCTCAGAGTCATGTTTATTTTTTTAAATGTTTATTCATTTTTGAGAGAGAAAGAGAGCGCGAGCAGGGAAGGGGCAGAAAGAGAGGGAGGCACAGAATCCAAAGCGTGCTCCAGGCTCGGAGCTGACAGCACAGAGACCGACGCAGGGCTCAAACTCATGAACTGTGAGATCGTGACCTGAGCCGAAGTCAGAAGCTTAACCAACTGAGCTACCTAGGTGCCCCCACAGTCATCTTTAATCATCACTTAAGCAAAACAAAAATTCCTGCCTAACTACACAATCTTCTAGAAAAAAAGGAAATCAAAACATGTACAAGGAGCACTGAAATGCCAACATAAGATGTTTAAAGAACCATTCACCCTTAAAATCACTGAATGAAAAATGAAAAAAAAGTTAGGCATGAGCTAGAGGAGGCCAAAATAGAACTGAAGTAAGTTTAAACATAAAAAAATAATAATATATGTTCTCACCAAAGTAGGTAAAATCTTAGACAAGACTAAATATGTATTTTAAATGTAATGAACGAGGCAGATCCTGTGGGGTTAACTGCCCTAGTAGGGGCCTCAGCAATTCACAGCTCAATTAGAATAGTGGCTAATGATGTTACTATAACACCAGCTCAATCAGAAAAAACAGCTTCCAAGCAAGAGAGGCGGTGTGTGACTGGGCAGCATAAATTAGTTTAATACTTGCTCTTAATTTGGGGGGTTGGGGGGCGGATCTAAAGAGGAATGCAGAAAAAATAATTCACATACAAATAAAGAAATAGCTCAACTAAAATGTAGCTTTAAAAAGTGAAGCATAGGTTTTTAAAATAAGAATTGCTGCTTCATAGTATAAGCAGAATTGTTTCAAACAACAAAGCCATCAGAAAAGGCCAAAGATCCATATAAAATGTATACAAAAATTTCAAATTCACCTTCTCAGCCCAAATTTTCATTAAATCTGAAATTGATTTGCAGTTTTTTTCTAAGCTCAAGATTTACAATGAAGGCACTTAGCTATACAGAGAAATTCCTATTAGGTACTCCCACCTCGAAAATCGAAAAATTAAGGTGTAATACCTCTTTAAAGCAACCTCACCCCAAAAACCTGGAAAGCAAAGAAAAAGCCACTTCTATTAATAGTCTCACAAAACGTATCAATTTTCTCTAGAAAGGCTTTTAGTTTTAATTCCAACAACTGAAACTTACATAATTCATTAGCACCTTTATATCTAAAGATTCTGCAAATCTTAAATGCTTAGCCTACCTGTATTACTTTGTTCAGTAACAAACCCATTTAAGAAAACAAAATCATAAAAAAATGAACTTAGGAAGCATTAACAGGATATCATATTTTAAAACGTTAATGATATCAATCATTTACAACTTGAAATGTCATGTACTAAGCATATCAGAACTTTCCAAAAGAGAAAATAAGAAATAAGTCCTTAGCAGAAAAAGAAGTTACACATTGGAACTTCCTATGCTATATTTCAACTGAAATACAGTCTCAGTGCAACAAGGCAAAGGCAGTTAATGAAATCCACAATAAAATTTATTCCACTGCAATATTCTAAATCTAATTACTTTATGAAAGTATGCATTTCTTTATTTTCTATAAGACTACATAGTTTCTTCCAACAAAAAATACTGAACCTACTTTTTAAAACCCACATTATTAAACTGCTATTGATGCTAAAAAGATGTAAGTCTGGCAAAAGTCAAAGGTTGTTAACAAAATTAGCCAAGATTACATGCCTTTAGAAAATCAACTCAGACTAATTAAAATGATTCCACATCATCTTATATTTGTAATTCCGGAAAAACGAGCGGTTTCACCTCAAACTAGAGTGCAAAAACGAAAGGCATGAGGAAACCAAATTCAAAACAAATTAAAAATATATTCATTAAAATTTTTACCAGTATTTTCGGGGGGGGGGGGGGGGATAGCTATCAATCATCAACAGAGTTTTAAAAACCTCTCTGCACCCTCAAAGAAATATTTCCACTTAACCAAACACACCCATTTCTTTGAAAATCTTGCCGGAGAGATTGTAACAGCAGTTTGGGGCTGTGATGGAGCCACCGCCCTACATCGTATACCAATTTCACGCTCAGTACACGTAATCCTAGCAATAAAATAAACTACGTCCTTTATTTTTTGTTAGAGGAGTGGAAGGTGGGGGTGGTCAGTTAGGTGCCGAGAATGTTTCCCGCATACCGCCATCATCCACAATACTCAAAAAGTAAGTAAACAAATCAAAGCCAGACACATAAACTGGAATGACACAACCAGGAAGGGAAAGTGAAGGACAAAGAGAAAACAAAAATTTGCTTAAGAAAAGAAATGAAGACAAGCCATTTACAACTTTCATTTATACCTGAGGCGACACGCTCCGGCCAACCCAGCGCACTCGGCTGGGGCGGACAGCGAAACTACTCAAGAACAACAAAGAGAAGCGGCGGCCGCAGCAGGAGTCCCGGTCCGAGTTTAACTTGATTCTGCCACAAACCGCAAGGGGAGTTCGGGGCCGCAGGACGCAGCCCGTAGCCCGAGTGACGCGAGGCCCCGCGGCCCCTGCGCAGGGGCCGCCGGCCCGGCCCGTCAGGGGGCCGCGCTCGCTCTCCCGGCGCACCCGCCGGCCTCCTGCTTGCTCCCGGCCGCTGCCGGGAGCCCGCCCCGGGGCGGGGAAGCCGCGGGCGGGGTGCGCGGGCCCGGCCGGGGGA